TGGATTGAGCACATGTGGAACCAGAGTGGGACTGTAATGGGTGTCACCAATGGGTGCCTGATTTTGGAGATGATATTAAGATATGAAAAAGATATTGTGGTTATGTTTAGAAAAAATTTTTCAGAGTTATGGGTTTGAGATAAAGCAGGAGCGCTTGACAGTATTATTTTAGCATTTGGCGTCAGTAGAGCAGTGGCCTTATGTTTCTGCTTCTTGTTTCTAAATCCACACCAGCAATTCAGAAGGTGCTGTACAGGGTGTGATCTTCAGAAGTGGGCTCCTCAGGATTTTCCCAGTGCCCTATGGGGCTGAGATGGGTTAGGGGGAGATAGGGAGCAGGAGGTAGTGGTATAGGGTTGTGGGAGACACCACCGTGCTCACCAGCAGAATGATTTAACTGTTTCATGGACAAATAAGCTTTGAAAAGTTGGGATTGAACCAGCTTAAACTGGATTCTTAGTTGTAGGACAAGTTTATGGCCCTGAACGCAAGCTTATTAAAGATATAACTATGATTATCAATAAGGTCTATCCAATTTAAAAACAAAGCATCGTTTTAAATAAACATTGTTTCTTCTGAAAATCACAATGTATCTAAGCAAGATATTTCAGGTTAATGAGATTATTAGTAGGAAATTTAAAATGTGCAATCTCTGGGCTGGTCCATTGGCACAGCAGTTAAATGCGCACGTTCCGCTTCAGCATCCGGGGTTCGCCAGTTCAGATCCCGGGTGCAGACTTGGCACCACTTGGCAAGTCATGCTGTGGCAGGCGTCCCACATATAAGGTGGAGGAAGATGGGCACGGATGTTAGCTCAGGGCCAGTCTTCCTCAGCAAACAGAGGAGGATTGGCAGCAGATGTTAGCTCAGGGCTGATCTCCCTCAAAAAAAAAAAGTGCAACCTCTGATAATGTATATCATGTGCAAACTTGGGAATAAGAAAAACTCAAAACTTTTAACCAGTATTTATAAGACAATTAACAACATATAATTAAAAACATTTAAAAATATCCATAAAACTACCATTCTAACACAATTATTTTGTAATTTTGTATGTTGCTTTTTACATAGATAATTCTTAAAGAATTATAATATTTTTCTATTTTATGTTCAGCTTTTTCAGGTTCGCAAGTCTTCCTAATTATCATTTTACTACCTATATTTTATTCTGTTGATGTAGCATAATTTACTAAGCTATTGTAATGTTGGGTACTTAGGTTATTTTCACTTTTTAAAATATATCATAGTCACTGCTATAAGGAAAAGCTGTATTAATGTTTGTTTTTGCTTTGCTTAAATATATTTTCTTTGGGATAAATTTTTAGAAGTGAAATTACAAGAAAATAGTATGAGCTTCCATTTTTGCTTTAATGGTCTGTTTCCAAAAGGGTTGTATTGTGCATATATCTGATACGATATATAATTCAGGTAACAATTCCTAGTCTATTTCAAAATGCCTATCTCAACTCTTTTAAAAACACTGTTCATATTTATATATCTGAAAATCAACCTTTGAAAAGCAGAATATAAAGGTATCAATGAACAGGAATTCTTCTCATTTGCCTAAGTGTTAAAAAGTAACTTTAGGATGTAATTAAGTGATGTATTGATTAATTGTGAACTTTCTTCTTTCTTTGAACCTTTTGCTATAAAAATTGTTAAAAGTCACTGACAGAGGCAGCATGCAGGCAGCATGAAAGGGAGAGAACAATTTACAAAATGGATATTATCCCAATTTGGTAAAAAGGATCTCTTTAGAAATAAAAACATTAATTTGGGGGAGAAGTTAAATCAGTTACCGAATAGTTCATTTTAACAGCCTGCAGAGCTAGCTTCATGTTGTAAAAATCTTAGAATTCCTTTTTTCCAGAGAACCAGGTTTTGTTTTTTGAGGTTGCTAAAATCTAAGGTAATCTTTATTACAGTGTATTGTTATAATTGTTATCTTTTTTTATTGAGTTCATAATAGTTTACATCATTGTGAAATGTCAGTTGTACATTATTTCTTGTCTGTCACCACATAGGTGCTCCCCTTCACCACCCACTGCACCCACCCCCCACCCTCTTCCCCTGGTACCCACTGAACTGTTTTCTTTGTCCATGTGTTTGTTCATATTCCACATATGAGTGAAATCATATGGTGTTTGTCTTTCTCAGACTGGCTTATTTTGCTTAGCGTAATACCCTCCAGGTCCATCCATGTTGTCACAAATGGTACTATTTTGTCTTTTTTTCCAGCTGAGTAGTATTCCATTGTATATATATACCACATCTTCTTTATCCAATCATCAGTCGATGGGCACTTGGATTTTTTCCATGTCTTAGCTGTTGTGAATAGAGCTGCAATGAACATAGGGGTACATGTGTTACTTGGGATTGTTGATTTCAAGTTGTTTGGGTAGATACCCAGTAGTGGGATGGCTGGGTCATATGGTATTTCTATTTTTCGTTTTTTGAGGAATCTCCATACTGTTTTCCATAGTGGCTGCATCAGTTTGCATTCCCACCAGCAGTGTATGAGGGCTCCCTTTTCTTCACAACCTCTCCAACATTTTTTGTTTTTTGTCTTGGTAATTATAGCCATTCTGATTGGTGTAAGGTGATATCTAATTGTAGTTTTAATTTGCATTTCCCTAATAATTAGTGATGCTGAGCATCTTTTCATGTGTCTGTTGGCCATCTGTATATCTTCCTTGGAAAAATGTCTGTTCATATCCTTTGTCCACTTTTTGATGAGGTTGTTTGGGTTTTTTGTTGTTGAGTTGTATGAGTTCTTTATATACTTTGGAGATCAACCCCTTGTCTGATAAATGATTTGCACATATTTTCTTTCAGTTGATGAGTCTTTCCATTTTGTTCATGGTTTCCTTTGCTTTGCAGAAGCTTTTTAATCTGATGTAGCCCCATTTGTTAACTTTTTCTTTTGTTTCCCTTACCTGAGTAAACAAAGTATTCAAAAAGATGTGGCTAAGACCAATGTCAAAGAGTGTGCTGCCTATATTTTCTTCTAGGAGTTTTATGGTTTTAGTTCTTACATTCAATTCTTTAATCCATTTAGAGGTAATTTTTGTGTATGGTGCAAGATAATGGTCTACTTTCATTCTTTTGCATGTGGCTGTCCAGTTTTCCCACCATCATTTATTGAAGAGGCTTTCCTTTCTCCATTGTATGTTCTTGGCTCCTTTGGCAAAGATTAACTGTCCATAGATGTGTGGTTTTATTTCTGGGCTTTCAATTCTGATCCATTGATCTTTTTGTCTGTTTTTGTGCCAGTACCATGCTATTTTGATTACTATAGTTTTGTAGTATGTTTTGACGTCAAGGACTGTGATGCCTCCAGCTTTGTTCTTTTTTCTCAGGATTGCTTTGGCTATTTGGGGTCTTTTGTTGATCCCTATAAATTTTTGGATCCTTTATTCTGTTTGTATGAAGAATGTCATTGGGATTTTGATTGGGATTGCATTGAATGTGTATATTGCTTTAGGTAGTATGGACATTTTAACTATGTTTATTCTTCTGACTCATGAACCCAGAATATCTTTCCCTTTCTTGATGTCTTGCTCAATTTCTTTCAATAATATCATAGTTTTCAGTGTACAGGTCTTCCAGCTCTTTGGTTAAGTTTATTTCTAGGTATTTTATTCTTTTTCTAGCAATTGTAAGTGGGATAGTATTCTTGATTTATTTTTCTGCTAGGAGAACTAGTTTTTGTATCCTAATTGATTTAATTCATCCCTTCACCTTTTGGGGTTATGTAAATAAGATTCATTATATATAAGAAATGTTTTATACTACTTTTTAATTGAGGTATAATTATCACATAATAAAAGGCACAGATATGACGTGTATACTTTGATTAATTTTGAAAAACACATAAACCACATCTCAAAACCCCAGAAAGCAACTCGTGCCCCCTTCTAGTCAATCCTCTCCTTTCCCCCACACTCCCCAGAAGCAGTCAGTGTTCTGATTCCTTTCACCATGGATGAACTTTGTCTGTTCTGGAACTTTATCTAAGTGGAGTCATGCAGTAGGCACTTGCAATTGCCTCTTTAGCTCAGCATCTTTTTGAAATTTATTCATATTGTTGCATGTTATCAGTAGTTCATTCCTTTTCATGGCTGAGTAGTATTTTGCTTTATAAATATCCCATACTTTATTTATTCATTCATTCTCCTCTTATTTACTTACTATTTTTTTTTATTGCAGTAAGACTGGTTTATAACGTTATATAAATTTCAGGTGTACATCTATCTATTCTCTTCTCTTTTTTGGTAAAGAAGATTCACCCTGAGCTAACATCCATTGCCAACCCTCCTCTTCTTTTGCTTTTTTTGCTTGAGGAAGATCAGCCCTGAGCTAACATCTGCGCCAGTCTTCTTGTACTTTGTGTGTGGGTTAACTCCACAGCATGGCTGATGAGTGGAGTAGGTCCATGCCCAGGATCTGAACCTACAAACCCAGGCCGTTGAAGTGGATTGCATGGAACTTTAACTACTTGGCCACAGGCTGGCCCCTATCCATTCTCTTCTTAATGGACATATAGGTTGCTTCCAGTGTTCAACTATGATGAATAAAGTGGCTATTAACATTCACGGACAACTCATTTTCTGCATGTACAACATACTTCAAAAAAGTTAAAAAACCCAACAGACTATAATGCACCACCAATACATATCCACCAAAACAGCTAAAATAAAAAAGATAGAAAATATTAAGTGTTGATGAAGATATACAGTAACAAGAATGCTCATATGTATAATTCCTTTGGAAAACCGGCAGTATCTACTAACACTAACAAATATGTGTACATATGCGTATTGGTAATTTTATGTATATTACTCAGCAATTCACTTTCTAGGTATACATACCCAATAGAACATATACATATGGTTTAAAAATATTCATAGCAGCATTATCCATAATAACCAAAAGTTAGAAACTGCCCAAATACCTATTAATGGTAGAATGGATAAATAAACTGTGGTGTATGCACACAGGGAATGCTATATATCAATGAGAAGGAACAAACTACAGCTGTATGAACCAACATAGATGAACTTCACAAACTTAAAGGTGAGAACCCAGATATCAAAACATATGATTCTATCTATATAAAGTTCAAAAATAAGCAAAACTAATCTATGATGTCAGAAGAGAGGACAAGATTAATCTTAGGACTGTAATCTTGTGACTGGTATGATGTGATGTCTGTCTTGTGATTTCTGAGCATTACACAGGATGATGATCTGTGCTGTGTGCTTTTCTGTACGTATATTAAACTTCAATATAAAGTGAAAATCTACTTTACTAATGCCCTCAGATCTGAGATCCTATCTGATTGAAACATTACCCACATGCAGTCTTGTCTCTTTGGGTCACTTTTTCTTCTTTCCTTTCAGGGTTATCAGAAAAATCATAGTACTATCAAAAAGGGGAGATCTTTGTTGCTCCTTGCAGCACTGTGAACATAATATATACATGTGTTCTAGAACAGTCTGGTGACACAGCATTAAGCTACATCATCAGTGTAGATAGCTGACTAGTTTGGGAACATAGAATAAAATGCAGCGTTGCAGTGGCATATGGCTTTTACCACAGTTGGATAAATCATTAACCCGGGCCCTCCGTGGTACGGGGTATTTGACTAACCTTGTAAACCAACTCAGGGAGCAAAAGTAAAGAGGCTGTGCTTGCCTTCCTCTCTGGAGGAACAACGGAAGAGAAATAATTTGGTGAGGAGTTCCGAGCGCCACGTGTCTCAGTCCAGCTGTTGGTTCTCTCCCTAAACATGTCTCCCTTCTCATCGCTAAGGCAAAACACATCCGCAAGAAAGGGTTTTAATTGGCTTTAAGGAAAAGCCCAAACAAAATAACACTTTTTCCCCTCAATTAACCTATGGGAAACTTTCAGGGGAGTTGAATGGGCCGTTGGTTTATCTACCATCAAATGTTGAAAAATGAGCTAAGTAAAGTTTAAACCTTGTATCCTTTCCAAATGGAACCTCGCCCTCGCACGGCCGACAGCATTTCTGCGTCCAGGTCTGCGTTTGCGGGCAGCTGCGAGGAATAAAATGGCTCATTTAGCGACGTGAGCTTACTCGGCCAGAAGGGGGCGAGCGGAAACAGTTCCCGAGGATTTCGATTAAGTCAGATAGTTTATGTTATGTAAATCAGATATGTCCCATTTGTGGCTTCCAGATTCCACTACTACCTGAAGCGAGCTGGGGTGAAGCAGCCTCCAAAAGTTTGGGCAGCTCTCCGCCGCTTAACAAAGTAAGCGCCAACTCTATTCTTCAAGTTTAGCTCAAGGTGACTGCTTCAGTTATGAGTGATGGTATGTTCTGATCCTTGCTGGGAAAGTCTGAAATCAGATATAGTATATTTAGGAGTCTGGGTAGTGGGAGCAACGACAATATTTGTTTAGAGACCTCACTTCCTCCATGCCCCTCCGTTGTTAAAAAGTCCTTTGCTCTTGCGGGGGAGCGCCCGATGAGAACAAAGCAAAGAGAGCCAGCGTTGGTAAAGAAATACCAAACGCCAAAAATGGCTTTGTCTGGTATTTAAAGTTAAGCAGCTATTTTCAGCTGTTGTCAATGCTCATCCCTAGGCCTTGTCGTTACCTAGAAAGGAACTAGAATAGTTTCAGGACTACCACATTTTTTTTGTTTTTAAAGATTGGCCCTGAGCTAACATCTGTTGCCAATCTTTTTTTCTTCTTCTTCTCCCCAAAACCCCTAGTACATAGTGGTATGTTCTAGTTGTAGGTCCTTCTGGTGCTACTATGTGGGACGCTGCCTCAGCATGACCTGATGAGTGGTACTAGGTCTGTGCCCAGGGTCTGAACCAGTGAAACCCTCTGCCGCCAAAGTAGAGCAGGCAAACTTAACCATTTGGCCACTGGGCCAGCGCTCCCCCCCGCCCCCCGCCTTTTTTTTTTCTTCTAGGACTACCACATCTTTTGAATACCACCAGAAAAAAGTTGCAGATTAAAAATCCTCATCTGATTTCATTTTATCAAACGGTTAATATTTTTCTACTTCCTGCTAATGGTAGCCTAGCTGCTGGAGTAATTTTTAGTGGTATATATTTTTCTTTTTCATCAACTATATAGCAAAAGAAGACAAAAGTGGTTTCAACCTCATCTTTCCCATGTAGGCAATTCTCTCCCGGCCCACCCCAGGGTGTCCATGTGTGTCCCGTGTAGTGTCTGATATGGTGCTTTGCAAACAAATCTAAATATAAACAATAAAACATTAGAAATAAATATGAGGGAATATTTGTATAACCTTGGGGATGGAGAGGTCTTCTTAAGCAAGACAGGAAACCCAGAGAAATTAAAGAAAAAAATAGACATGTTCGACTATGTAAAAATTAATATTTTTTGCAAAGCAAAAGATACCAGAAAGTGAAAAGAAAAAGTGAGGAAAAATGTTTGTGATAAAAATGACAGAAAATGGTAAATATCCTAATAAACAAAGGCTCCTACAAATTAATAAACAAAAGACAACACAAGAGAAAAATGAGCCAGTGATGTGAACAGGCAGTTCACAGAAGAAAGAATAGGAGAAGGTGCTCGGTATCACTGGGAGTCAGGAAAAGGCAATGAATTCAAGGATATAAATACATGCATGCAGTGGTATAAAAACACACAATTTATGAGCGGTTGGCTTGGGGCCCAGGGACCTAGGGGAGGGTAATAGGCCTGGGATTGGAAGTCAAAAGGGGCTTCAACTTTAACTGCAACTCTTTGTTTCTTTTATTAAGATATATTAAGATTTGAGGGGAATGTGACAAAATGGTAACAGTTATCAAACTTGAGTTGTGTCTTTTGGTGAATGTAAACTTGCCTTTCTGTTGGATATATGCCTAGGAGTAGAATTGCTAGGTCATGGGATATGCATATGTTCTAGTAATGCTCTGTTTCTTAATCTAGGTGTTGGTTACGGAGGTATACTCAGGTTATGGAAATCGACTGAGATATATACTTATGATACGTGCATTTCAATAAAAAGTTCAACAACAACAAAATAAAAGCTACAATGCAATACCACTACACATTCATCAGAATGGCTAAAAATGAAACAGCAGAAAATACCAAGTTTTGGTGAGGATGTACAGCAACTGGGTTGCTCATATATTACTAGTGGAAATTGACCTTGATGCAATCCCTTTGGCAAACTGGCATCATCTACTAACACTGAAAAGATGGGTACCATCCCAGGATCTGACAGTTCTTTTGTTTTTTTTTTTTCAGGAAGATTACCCCTGAGCTAACTGCTGCCAATCCTCCTCTTTTTGCTGAGGAAGACTGGCCCTGAGCTAACATCTGTGCCCATCTTCCTCTACTTTATATGTGGGACACCTACCACAGCATGGCGTGCCAAGCAGTGCCATGTCCGCACCCGGGATCCGAGCCTGCGAAACCCGGGCCACCAAAGCAGAACGTTGGTGCTTAACTGCTGCGCCACCGGGCTGGCCCCAATCTGACAGTTCTATTCCTAGGTAGACATACCTGGCAGAAATGTGTTTATATGACACCAAAAGACATGTATGTATAAGACTTATGTGACACCGTTTTTTTCAATATCTTTTTTAACAACTTTATTGAGATGTCTTTGGCATATAAATTGTATAAATTTAATGGGTACAACTTGATGATGTGAAATATTGTGAGACCATTTTAAAACCATCAGATTGGGGGGGAAAGAATAAATTATGGTACATCAAAGAGATGAATTTTATGCAAATTAAATCTATATATGTATTGACTTGGTGGGACATCTCTGAGAAGTTAAGTGAAGAAAGCAAGTTGTGTATATACTGACTTCATTTTTATAAGGATAGAAAACAAAGACAAAACCCCTTTTATGTGCATGTACGTATGTAAGAACAAGAAGAAAAGACTGCAAATAAAAAGATCCAAATTTTAATATGAGAGGCGAGATTAAATGAAGAATGAGGAGAGAGATGATTAGCTTTTTTTGTGTGTTTCTAGGTAGTTATTTTTGATTGAGATATAATTCACCTATGATAAATGCACCACTGTAAAGTATATAATTTGGTAATTTTTAGTGTATTCATGAAGTTGTGCAAGCATTGCGACTACCTAATTCCAGAACATTTTAATCACCTGTTCTCCCCCACACTCCCCGCCCCAAACCACCCTGTAGCCATAAGCAATCATTCTCTATACTTCCTGCCTCCCAGCCCCTGGCAGCCACTAATCTACTTTCTGTGTCTACGGTTTGTCTATTCTGCACATTTCATATAAATGGAATCATGTAATAGGTATGTGATTTTTTGTGTCTGACCTCTTTCACTTAGCATAATGTTTCTGAGACTCAACAATGTTGTAGCATGCATCAATAGTTCATTCCCTTTTAAGCCTGAACCATATTCCATTGCATGGATACAGCATATTTTATTTATCCATTCACCAGGTGCTTATCATTTGCATTGTTTCCACGTTTTGGCTATTGTAAATAGTGCTTCTATGAACATTAGTGAACAAGTTTTTATGTGGACATATGTTTTTATTTCTCTTAGGCATATATCTAGGAGTGGAATCACTGTGTCATGCCGCAACTCTATGTTTAAACTTTTGAGGAACTGCCAGACTACTTTTTAAAGCTGCTGTACCATTTTGCTTTCCCACTGGCAGTGTATGAGGGTTCCAATTTCTCCACATCTTCACAACACTTATTATTGTCTGTCTTTTTTATTATAGCCATAGTGTACTAGAGGGTATGAAGAATATCACGTTTGTTTTTATTTGAATGTCCCTGATGGCTAACGATGTTGAACATCTTTTCATGGACTTATTGGCCCTGTGTATATCTTCTTTATTTTTATTTTTTTTGGTGAAGAAGATTGGCCCTGAACGAACATCCATTGCTGGTCTTCCTCTTTTTGCTTGAGGAAGATTGTCTCTGAGCTAACGTTTGTGCCAATCTTCCTTTATTTTGTATGTGGGATGCCGCCATAGCATGGCTTGATGAACAGTGTAAAAGTCCATGCTTGGGGTCTGAACCCATAAACTCCCAGGCCACCAAAGCAAAGTGCATGCACTTAACCTCTACACCACTGGGCTGGCCCTATATCTTCTTTAGATAAATGTCTATTCAAATCCTTTGCCCATTTTTTATTTAGGTTGTCTTTTTATTGTTGAGTTGTAAGTGTTCTTTATATGTTCTGTATGGAAATCCCTTGTGAGATATATGATTTGCAAATATTTTATCTCATTTTGTGGGTTTTCTTTTCACTTTGTTGATAGTGTCCCTGGAAACATAAAAGATTTTAATTTTGATGAAGTCCAATTTATTTTATTTATGTTGATTCCTTGCACTTTTGGTGTCGTCTTTAAGAAATCATTGCCTAACCCAAGGTCACAAAAATATACACCTACGTTGTTTTATGAGTTTTATAGTTTTACCCCTTAAATTTAGGTCTTTGATCCATTTTGAGTTAATTTCTGTATATGGTGTGAAGTAGGGCTTCACCTTCATTCTTTTTCTGGTGGATATCTAGCTTTCCTAGCTTCATTTGTTGAAAAGTCTATTCTTTCCCCCATTGAGTTGTCTTGGCACCCTTGTTGAAAATTAATTGACCATAAATGTACGGATTTTTTCCTGGACTCTCAGTTCTATTCCATTGATCTATATGTTTATCCTTATGCCAGCACCATGCGTCTTGACTACTATCTAGGTAGTTTTAAAAAACCGAATTTTTAAAATAGATTTGATTGAGTTTTAAGCTTTATTAATCCCTGTATTAGTTTTCCATTACTGCTGTAAAAAGTTATCACAAACTTAGTGGCTTAACACAAAACGAACTTATTATCTTACATGTCTGTAGGTTATAAGTCTGACACAAATTTTTGTTTCAGCTTTATTGAGGTATAATTGACAAATAAAATTGTAAGACATTTGAAGTGTACATCGTGGTGATTTGGTATACATACACATTGTGAAAAGGTTCCTCCCATCTGGTTAATTAACACATCCATCACCTCATATACTTATCTTTTTTTTAAGTGAGAACATTTAAGTTCTACTCTCTCAGCAAATTTTAATTATATAATACAGCGTCATCAACTACAGTCATCATGTTATACGTTACATCCTTGGACCTTATTCATCTCATAGCTGAAAGTTTGTACCCTTTTACAAACCTCTCCCCATTCCCTCCACCCCTCAGAAAACAAATATTTTTTAATAGTTTACATTGATGTTGGTTAAATGAGTTGCTTTAAGGTCACACAGCAAATAAGTGACAGGGCTCGGGAGAGGTGTTTTCATTCCCTGTGTGGTGATTCACTTCCTTCATTTTCCGTTCAAGAAATATTTATTGAGCAGTTAGATGATGTGGCATACAACGTTATGCTGCTTCATAAAGGCATTTTAGACTTAATCAGCCTGTTGGGTTTTGAGTTCAAGATCTCCAAAATTTTAAATTTTTAAATAATTTTAAAATAAAATTTAAGGATGGCCGATTATTTATGAAGAGCTGACAGTACAAAGCTTATTAATCAAGTGAAGTTAAAGTAATTCAAAGACAAGGACTGGGAGGCTAAGGCAGGAAACGCTAGTGAGGCGGATAGGAAAGGAACCAGGGAGGTGGGATGCAGGCACTGTTAGATCCGGTCCTTGCGGCGATGCTCACAAAGTGGACGTGTGGGCTTTTACAAAAAACAGATGCTTTCACAGTTACTCTTAATGTTTTGATACTGGGAAACAGCTTGAGAAAAAGAGAAATGTATCCGTGCAACAGCAGCGAGGGAAAATCAACATGTGGCCAAAACAAGGAAAGAACAACAACTTGTAGAAGGGCATGTATTACAAGGTTAGTTCATTCGTTTATTCAATCATTCAGCCAGCATAAACTCCACGCATTGTGCTGGGGGTCAAGAACACGGCTCTGAAGGAAACATGGGATCCCTAATGCAAGGCACCTCCTGATTGGGTACTGCCACTCAGAGAGAGGGTGGGCTGAGAAGGCTGCTGGCCTCCAAGCCTGCCTCCTACCCCTCCGCGGCCCCACCAGCAGAAACAAACCTGCCGTGTTCAGTTCTCTGAGCATCTCCACCCCCCACCTTCTACCCACAGGGCCTGGCTTCTCCCATCCTCCCCTCATCTTTCCCCTCCCCCAACTACCAGGATGGTCCTCGAACCATAGTAATCCTGAACAGTCCATTTCCCAGGCTGAGTTTTTCAAATAAGCATATAGGGGTGAGGCAGGTGTGGTACACAGAGTTGGAAGAAGCAAGGAGAGCATGTGACAGGGCACGGTGGGAAGGAGGAGCAAGAACACTCCAGTTTTTGTCCTCTTAAAAGGGCAGTGTAGTGAAGTGGTTAAAATCCTGGTGTCTGAAGGTCCAGATTACCCAAGTTCAAGCCCTGGCTTTTCCGCTTGCCACCTTGACACATCCTTTAACCTCTCTGCACCTGTTTCTGCATCCGTGACGTTGGAGGAAGAGTTATTTCATAAGAATTCTGTTTCATAAGGTTGTACTCATAATATGGATAAAGCACCAAGAGCAGCGCCTTGCACATAATAAATGCTCTGTGTTACCTGTGAGCCTGGTTTGGAGAACCCTGTGCCGCTGTGACATCAAGAGAGGCCTGCTTGGTTTTCTCAGTTCTCTCCGCAACTCTATTCCTGATGGTCCATCCGTAGCTCTTAGACAAAACTCAACAGACCCAGTGTCCTAAGACTAACAACAACTCTAGAGAAGATAGTCTAAATTCACATCAAGCGGAAAGAGGAAGTTTGCATCAAAGGTACAAATCTGCAAAGGTTTCCATGGCCCCTTGTAGCTCACCTCTGAGGTTCTTACCACGGTCATTGTATTCCTCTTTTCTCAACTTCCTGCTTCTAGACTTGGCCCAGGGACCTCTCTCTGCCTAACAAAGCCCATTTCAGTGCCGTTCCAACAAGACACATCCCTTGGCAACCCTCCTAGAATGTGCAAGCAGCTCATTTTAAAATAGAACCCTTTTTTCCTTTGGTCCTTCTACAGCTAGTTTACAGTGCTCAGTGGAAAAACAGGCGGCATAGTCCTTCCTTCTCATTTTCTTCCCTTTTCTCTGCCCCTCCTGTTTCTCGTGGGTCTCTTTTCTTCCCCTTTTATTCTCTTTGTTCTTTGTTTCCTGGAATCCCTCCCAATAGCTCAGAATGGAACTGGTATTGTTCGGAACCAGGTAGATGCAGGTCTAGGAAATAGTAGTTGCTTTTCTGAACTTGGTGCTTAACTGAAAAAAGGAAAGAGGAGAGGTTGTTGGGTGAAGAACCAGAGCT